TTTTTTTTTTTTTTTTTTTATTGAACCCTGTAATTTAAATTGTCCTGTCCCTCCTTTCATTGGAAGATTCTATGTTTTTTTTTTTAAGCCTTCCAAAATCATCTATAGGCACACAATACATCTAAGATATTGCTTTTAGGGACTATGGTGTGCTCATTTGTCATGAAATAGTCATTTTCTGTTGCATTTTTCCAACTTGATTGAGACGTTTCCTCCAATGTTTGTTCCACCCATTTTATGGTGTCGCCTTAGAGCTGCGATCAGGCTTTTCTTTAGGAAGGCTCAACAAAATCAAAGATCTCTCAGTGCAAAAAGTATTTTTGCTAGGTGGATGCTAGCTAAAAAGAAACAGTTGCAGTTACTGTGCAGTTTCTCAAAGAGCTACTTTGGCTCAACTTTGAGCAGTAGTAGTGTCTCTCGTCACTACTTGCTGTTCTGAGAAAGTCGGCCAATGGTGTACTGGGAAGGCTTGGCACGGTCATAAGGGATTCATGGAGGGCAAAGGTGATCACTGCTCTATGCAAACAATGATGGCAACTCGTTTTGGAAGACAGGGAGGGGTTCTTTATCAGAGAGCAGAATGAATGGGGCTAGAATGCCAGTGTGTACATGATTTAGATGAAGAAACTGCATTTTACATGTAAAAGCTAAAAAATGATTTTGCATAATGTAGGCCCTTTTATGATAAACAGGCAGGAAAAACCCAGCAGGGAGGTGATTGAACAAAAGTAAAAAAATAAATCCAAAACACTACAAGCTTTAGAGAGGATGGTCTGAGGCTGCTCTTCAGGCTTCTGTTTTATAACAGAGGATACTTTTATTTGGAAACAGGCCAAGTGGAAATAAGCAAAGCCGCAGAGTTATTTCAAGGTTTCAGTGTCTGTCTGTATTCTAGATTTGGTCATGTTGTCACCCATTTGGAAGCCTCACTTTATCTAAAGATGTAAAGTGTTGGAAATAAATATTTACCCCTTTATTGTGTTCTTCCATTTCTACTCCCAAATGCTTCAGATCAAACTAAGTTAGATGTTAATTAATATTAAATAATATAAAAAAATCTATCTAACCCAGCCTGGTCTTTAGCAAAAGAAAAAAAAACAAAAAACACTTCTTAAGAGCAGCAATCAATGGCTTTTGGCATTTTATTTTTAAATTAATGCAAGAATTTGGTCCTACTCTTCTTTCCATAACTAGTTTTAGACTTTGAACTCTGTTTTCCAAGTTGAAAAAAAAAAAAAAAATTAAATGGTATCAAAATCAGAATTTTTATTTTGATTGACCCAGTACAGTTGTGACAAACAGTAGCTTATCCCGTTTTGTCTCGATCAAAGGTTATCTGGGAACGAGAGGCTCTTGACACAGAAACAACGGCCTCCTTACTTTGTGACAAAGACTTATTTTATTCTGATGAATATTTCAATACCTCTACAGTCTGATATTACAGAGTCAGCTTGTTAGTCTGAACGCTTTATGATCAATGGAAATGAACAAAACAGAAAAGTAATCTGGGGCCAATGCTTCTTAATAATTGACTAAAAATAAAAAACAAAGGAATTCAAATGTTTCTACAATTCAAGACCCTGTGAAAGAAATGTTTTAACTACCCTTTAAAAGAAATGGAAAAGATCAACTTTAAACGTTTTTTATTGAGCCCAATCATTTCAAAGAAAAAAAAAAAAAAAAGATCAGTAGTAAAACCGTCCATCACCTAAAACACTCATTAAAAACCACTTAAAACAACTCCCTGATTTAAAACAAAAATATAACTGTTGTGATGTTTTCAAAAAGCATAACCATGCCACAGCTTGTACCCTCTTCTGTTTCAGGCCGTGTCAGGACCAGTTCAGCCTCCTTACATCAGTGCAAGCTTGTTCTAAAGCCTATTGTTAGTTACATGTTGATCACAGAGAGAACGGAAAACAAGCAGGTCGAATCTGGTGCGTTGTGTTCAGCTTGCATTCCGGGTCCAGGATGCATCGTTTACTTGGATTTAGCGAAGCCGACCCGGTTGTTCTGGCGGTCGAACACGGTGTAGTACTGACCGATGAACACGTCTCCCAGAATCCACAGTGGCCCAGCAGGGGGAGGGATGTCCAGACCCATAAAGCCACTTAGACAAATAGTCTTCCCAGCCTGACTGACCTGCAGCACAGACGGTCATCATGGTGTTAAATGTTAATGTCTTACAAGTAACTGACAGCATGAGCTAACAAAAACGAGCTCTTCTCCTGTAAACAGTCCAGCCTCTTCTCAGCTTCAACTAAAACAAAGCTGGACTTGTTCTGCTTTAATGATGCAATATAATGAGTCGTTTTGGCATTTCAAAGGCTTCCACCCTGCTGGATGATTATGCATACACTCACCTTGAGGATGTACTGGTCCCCAGTCAGACTGTAGGTCTGTCCGCCAACATTGAAGGTGATGACAGGGAGTGTCGGGACCTTATCACAGGGCACCATGTACTGAAACACATCAAGACTTCTTTAAAACAAAGTACTCTAAAAATACTCCTCAATAGAGTAAGTTTATTGCTGGTTTCCAAATCAGAAAACTGTAAATAGAAATTTTTTTCCTTGTTAAACAGATTTGTACAAATAAACAAATCATTACACTAACAGAACAATATTGTGATATTTATTTCAGGCTGTTTTTCTTTTTTTTTTTTTTTCCCCCAACGGTAAGCTGACAGGAAAGGGGGTATGAAAGGGGGGGAAGAGACATGCAGCAAAGAACCACAGGTTGGATTAGAACCCAGGTCGGCCGTGTCGAGGCTGTACATGGGTTGTGCACGCTAACCGCAGAAGAAGTTTCAATAAATATGACGTAAAGAGCATCTTTCCATCCAGTGTGATTGAGCTAGAGTTGTTTTACAGACGTTAAAATTAAGTAAGGCATAAAGCTGCAATGGATCTGCAGACGCAGCTACAGTGAGAGGTGATCATTTTAAGAGATGTCTGAAAAAGAGGAATCATTATTCCTCCATGTGCTGATTGAACACTTTTGTGTTTGTATGCAAAGATACATGATTTGTGTTGGTATTGAGACAAAATGTTTAGTACTTCAATTCATATACAAGTCTCAAAATAACTTTAGCAATAGACTCAAATAGGAAATTTCTTTCCACGTGCTCCATCAGTTGTCACCCGACAGAGTATCCGTCTTATTTTGGGCATTTCCATGGTAACCTGACTCATTAACATGTTTGTTTTAGTAAAGTTTTGTTTCCATATCTGAAACCCATTTTGCGGACTAAAGTGTTTTCCTCACCTCTCCCTGGATGAGTGGAAGGGCTCCAATGGCTTTCTGCAGAGATTTGACCTCGCTGGCTGGCCCAGTGATCAGAGACGTCCCGGTATCCACAATGGCCTCGCAGCCACCTTTACACAGACTCAGCTGACTGCCGATGGTCATCCTTGAACACATTAAAACAGAGTTTTAATACATTTAACAAAGTTCGGGTAGGTGTGTTCCTAGAAGTAGAGAAAGTGCTAAACAATTTTTGGAGAAGTTACAAATTGGTATTAAAACCCAAATTACACAGAAACTTCTAACTTTTGAGCACAACTTTCTAATCTTTTGACTAACAAAAGGTCTAACAAAGGACAACCTTTGGGTATTTTGAAGAAACAAGAAAAAACAAATCAGTTTGATAAAACCTGGCAAATGTGACAGCCTCATATTTAAGCTCATGCTTTCTGTGATGAATCATCAATTCTTACCCTTCCATGTGAATCTGCCAGTAGGCCTGCCGGGTGATGTTGACATAGTGGAAATCTCCAGTGTAGTATTTGGGGTCTGTTCCTCCCAGCAGCAGTTCACCACCTGGCTCAGTGTCTGGGTTCCTGATGTAAGAAAATACGCTTTAGTGATGCATGGAAATAAGGATTTCACCAACTTATATTCAATCAGTCCATTTTATGCATTTGTTATTGATAACCCATTAGTACAGAATGCTCCACAGTTTACAACCTACATTTAAACTCTTAAGAGTTGCATTAGTTATAGAATTATTCGCTTAAACATAACCAGAAGAAATCAGACACTACATGAAAATACTGTATTAAAACGTGAAAAATAAATCATATTTTGCTACCTTTCCTTCTCTGGCCAACCACATGAACTGTTCCCACTGGTTATTCCTAATGCTAAAAATCATTCAAAAAGGAACCACTTGGTGGCAGCAGACTCAACAAAAACAGGCCTCCAGGTTACAGTAAGTCTTCTAAAGCTTTTGGGGTTTTAGTAAATCCATCTGTGTGTCTTATTGTTCTCAGAAGGCCACAGCATGAACAAAGATTTGAAATCTTCAAGAACATGACACAGGTTAGTTTAGAAAGCTCACAATAAATCACTATAATTTCATTCAATAATTGTGATATGATTTTTTGACATTTCATTATAATATAATTATGATCAATCATGTTTTTTTTTCCCTTCCCATACACAGCAATGAACAAACAACAACGGTAAAGTAGTGATGGGGGTGCGTGTATCGTTTCAAGAAAGTCACAAGGCCGATACAGAAGCTGTTTCTAACTAACTGACGGACCAAACTGTGTTTATAAACATATCTGTCAATCGGATGCATCTGCACAAATAAAAAATCAGATCTTTTTGGTTCATCATCAAAATCATTGAAAACTATAAAGCAGCCGCAAGACAAAAGAATGGTTTCACTCATTTGGGATCATTTTGTCATCCTGTTCCTCTCAGTTAATACTCAACTTACCTGAGCTAAAGTTAATTTCAAACAGAGTGTGCTTATCGTTTAAAAAAATTTTTTTTAAAAATGCTAGTCCAAAAGTCTCCTCATTCGAGCGTTAATTTAAACATTCATGTTATGATAGATGGTCACATTATTTATTGGCTGCATCTAAAAAAAATATAAAAGATTTTCAATTTAAACATAGAAAGAAAATAATAAAATGTAACCTACAATAACTTCAATTATATTATTGCAATAAGTCATCAAATCATTTCAGTGTAGTCTGTCAAATATTCTGCGTGTAGGGACTTTAAAGGTTCAGAATTCTCTGACAGTATCAACGCAGTAACAGTTTGGCAGTACTGATAATAATGCTTCAACCCATCACTACAACAAAGCAAAAGAGACAGATAGTCAATTATTTATCACTTGCACATATTTGGATTAAGACCAAGGCATCTTGTGTGCAGCATGGGCAAAGGTTGGGGTGCATATTCTACATAACACCACATGTATTAGACCATCCCAAGGTTCCTTAATACTGTAGATGAAAGATGTTTTTTCCTTTAAGCTCAGTTGCCAACCAACTGTTTCTAACTTCTCCACATTTGTTTTGTCAGTAAGTGTTAAATTATCAGTCTGCATCTTTAGAAAGCACTTTTAGCAAGGAAACCATGAGAATCAGTTTGCCAAATTTTGAAAAAGACAGTGACAGCCCATTTATTTTCCATGTTAAATTCCTGCATAGAAGGGCATCCGTCTAACCTGTTCAGGTAGAAGGAGAAGACATTTTGCTCCACTTTCTTCTGGTTCATGATATTATCAAACACTGGAACCACACCGTCCACAGAGATTTTGGGATACGCCATCCCAAGGATCCCATCAAACTTTGCTGCAATGAATGCCACACCAGGCTGCTTGATGGCTTCACCAAACAGTTGATTCTCCACGGTGATGTCTCCAATCTGATAGAAAACAAATATGTCTCATGATTTCATGCAGTAACGATTAGTCTCTGTGATATAATGTGACTTAGAGAAGCTTACAGTGCAAGTATCCTGGCTGAGGTATCCTGACAAACTGCCAGTTCCATACTGGATGGCGAAGGAGGTGCCGTTCTTCACATACGTGCTGGATTTAGCAGAGTTATATTTGTGGTGAAGCACTAAAAGAAACAAATAGCAAAGTTCAAAACAGCCTTTCAGATCCCATCAGGTTTATTACAGTTGAGCGTTTGGGGGGGCAGACTTACAGCAAGCGATGTCTGTGAAGGAGCAGTGAACAGAGGGGACCCACAGGTTGGACGAGCCGGTGTCAAACACTACAGTGAACAGCTGAGGAGGGGTGCCCAAACCAATTTCCCCATAATACTGAGCCTGGGCAGACAAAGGAATAAGGTCCAGTTTAGACTACAAAGGTCATTTAGAATAAAAACTGAGCAAAAGTTCATAATTAAAATCATGCAGCTTAATGTGCAACCTTATAACATTGCTGTGTTTTTTGGGAAAAACTATTCCGACAATACATCAGCTGCTACAGTCTGAACAAAGACTATAAAAAGGAAGCGATGACTCCACAAATTTAGGACCTCAGTCATGTTTCCGTTTCATGTGAGGGAGCGTAGTTTGAACTGTTGCTAAACCCAGTCAGTTTGTCAAGTCATTCTGGCTTCAGTGGTTCCCAAATGCAGAAACAGAAACTGATTTATTGCAAGACTGATTTTTCACTTCCTTCTTAACTCTCAGTGAGCAGCTGGGACAACTCTTTCTGAAAATGGGATTCTTCTCCCTCCATTATGCACAATTCATACTGAGAGATGATAATCAAACAACTTAAAAAGATATGAAAATTATAAAGCTGTAAAACTTTCTCTAATTAGACCAATTGATGCAAATATACAACATCTGCTTTGTTGTGAGTTTGTTAAAAACAAAAATGATGAAAAATCTGTATAGAATATAATCGTTTAGGTAATATTTAAAATGAGATCGAAGTTATTTGCTAAATGAATACATTCAATCATTAATCTAGAGTTTTTCAAAAAAACAAGAATACAAATCATGTAAATATGTAATTTTGTTAAACAAAATTATGAATGAATGTTTAACATAATTATATATTATGTAATAAGCTATTAAATCGTATTATTACTGTTACAATAAATGAAATAAAAGCTTGATTTTCTAAAGGTGAAAACTGAAGGTCTTTAGAAGATTTAAGTGAATAGAGATCAATCAATTTAACAAGTCTGGACTATTGTAGGAACAGGGAGATGTTTAATTCTTCGTTTATAAAAATCTAAATCAATCAATTAAACACAATCCTTGTTCTAGATTCGATGAGGTCAACCATCAAACAAAAGCAGATCATTGAATTTGTTGTGCCATCTCAAAGTAAACGGTTTGTCAGCTGACAGATCAGACCACTTAACATTTTCTCAGAGTTTTACACACTTTATGAAAAGATTACATAATTCTTGAACACAACAGAACCTTTGTTCATCCCTCCCTCAATCAGCTCTTCACTTCTCAGAAGCGTGTTAAGTAAAGCACGTCTGAAGGGTTTCTCAGCTCAGTCAGTGAATTATAAAGTGATGCTTACGTCTAGGTAGTTCTTCAGTGTTTCTGGAGTGGGTATATTACTGGAGGGGAAGCCAAGGTTGTACTTCAGGGAGTGTTTGTCAGCAAGAAGCTCCTCTGCTCTTCTTCCTGAGTCGGTCAGCTCACGTCGAATGGAACGGAACTTCTTTAAAGGAATTCTGAACAGAAGGAAACAAAACAAAGAAAACTTGTAAACACTTCAAGGTTTGTCTGCAACAATTATTTTAAACAAAAGAGCCATGCAAAAATGCATTTAAACAGCAGCTTTAGATCTATTCTGACAGTTTTATTACTCCATCTGATCCATGTCCTCTGACTGCATCTTAACATTTCCTTACTGTGATGAAACCTCAGAATCTACCAAGCAGGAAACAAATGCTGACTGCTTTTTTGTTTTTGATGTGCATTTTAAATGCTAAGAAAAATTCAAGGAATGAACAACTGGAGTAACATCATTCCAAATATCAGACTTGGCCAACATCGCTTGAATATTAAATTCATTAAGATTACACATCTTAAGTGAATCAACATTATTAAAGTTTTGTTCAACATGCTCCATTTTTCTTTCATTCTGACTAACAAACAGGTTAATTTACAGGAGAAAATTTCTTTTCCGTTAGACTGTTAAACAACAACATTGTTTCTTCAAAGGCTTTTCCTGATTAGGTGTGAGACAAACTGCAACATAAGGTCCTTCCTGTGCACCGCTATCAACATCTGCAGCAACTTTTTTTTTTTTACTAAGATTTACTATATCTAGTTAAATTTGGAATTACTAAGGTATTTTTAATTGAGTTGAAAGTTGTCTCTGAACATTCTTTCCTATCAAAGAGCCCCGGATGTTTCGCCAAGAGCCCCGGATGTTGTGCAAAGAGTCCCGGATGTAAGCTGATCTGAGTAAAATGTGCAGTACTGGAATTCACCAGAGATTGGCAGCATGCATAAGCAGAAGTGTTTCCCTCTCATTGCTACCACAATAGCCTAGCTCCGTCCAGGTGGCTAAAATATTTAATTTTCCTCTAATAACTCTGGCGAATAATGCTCAAATGTCACCAAATCCACAGGATCTGTTGTTGATGAAAAGAGGAATAAATACAGTTAAAGACTTGCAGGTAAATTAATTTATCCCCATTTATGGAGGGGGAATGGATTATTTCAGGCAGCTGAAATATCCATTCTATCCTCCTACTCCTGTATTTTTAGGAAATATGTGTGATAGCATGTCATATGCCTAAAATTTCTTTAATCCAGTAATCTTTCATATTTTATATCAGAATGGGATTTACCAGGAAGTCTACACCCTCACCTTCACCCTCGGGGCTAAGCCCCTGACCTCCTAGAATCCTAGATCCGCCCCTGGTCTTAAGACACCATATTACATCCTTTTCCTCAGTAATAACCCTTTTCTGAATTTTTCCTCGTTTTCCGTCGATCAAAGTGCTACGGAATTTGTTAAATGTGTCAAACGTAAGAGAAATTAAGATCGTGTAGCCGTGTTAACATGAGAGCGTGACTGGAGCCCTGTTTATGATGATATAATATATAGAGTTGTTTACAACGATTAGCAGGGCTTGTTCAGACAAGCTGCAGGTCAGGTGATTACAACTGGAGATTTCAACACACAGAATATAACCCCAAACCTTATCCGACTAAAGCTTTAAACATTGTAACCATTAAAGCGACGGAAGGTGGAAGGTATTGCTAACAGATAGCACAGTTAGCAATAACTCGGGGGTTTCGTCGTTAAAAAAACCCCAAAAGAAATAAACAGATTAAATGGTTTCAAACTTACCGAACCAGAGCTTCGTTTGTTAAAGCTAACGTCGCTAACACTAACAACACCAGGCTCCTCATTGTGCCGAAACCAGAACCCGGACCAGTAGAACCTCAATGACTGAGCACCTCAAGCTTGTTGTCGACCAACGACCGACTTTTATCAGCTGATCCGAGACCAGTCACCGTCACGTGCCTCTGGAGCAGCAGGGCTGTGACGTAACAGACGAATCTCTGTAATTTTAATAGCCCGGAAGTAAAAAAAAAAACAACAAAAAATTATTAGAACCTATTAAAAATAAGAGTAACCAGAAAAACAGAATTATACGGAAGCGTATTATCACATCTATTGGTTTAACGTTTATGTTTTAATACCCAAAGCTAAAATACTTTAATGGTTCATTTTAAATGTATATTATAGCTATTTGAATAAATATCAGCTATAACCATTCATAGGTAATAATTCATATTTTTATTTTAAAAGTAACACTTGAAGATAATGTGTGAAAGGATTCTTCAGTCTGACTCATGCTGCTGAATTTGCATACAGATCTAGAAAGTGGTTTGTGGTGAAATTAGAAAAGTATGTGGTCATGTCAGAAGATTTTTCATATATCGGTGCTTATAAACATTAACTGGCACACTATGAGATTACTAAAAACACACCTAGCTGCTCCTCTCTCTATATATATATTTGTATTAGATCAAAATGTTGGATGTATATCTTAGCTATGCTGCTAAACTATATCACTATATGGAGTTGAAGTACTCACTTGAGAGGTAAATTATTATCCAGCAATACAGAGATTGCTTTTTTTTTCTCATACTAAAAGTATTGTGCTGCACTACCGAGGAATGAACAGCGTGTGGCTGCCTTGTCCGACAGATCCCTCTCTCTGTCCTTCATATGTGTGCATTATAACACATTTCATACAGGTTATCTCACCCCTTCTTTCATGTATTTGGCATTTGTCTTATTTAAAGACAAACAATTTTAGAAAGAGGAATATCATCTATATTATTTAGCGAGTAGAATTGGTTTTTGTAGCTGATTTGCAACAAATGTTATTAATTAGTTATTGCAAATGCACTATACATGCCATCTGAAGGTACTTTACAGAGACAATTCAATCAAATCATAAAGACAGATTGGTCAAAAATGTTTCTATCAAGGGTATTACAGCAGAATTCACTTCAATTAATGATAACGTTAATGCAACATCTATCCCCCATCCTCTCCATCCAGTTGTTCCTCCTCAGAGTTCTGCAATATTACTAAAAATGCTGGAAATACATTGGTTTTCAACAATTTGGGATCTATAGGGTTCAACCCCCTTTACTTTGATATCCCTAAATACATTTCTGTACAAGCACCTAATTGTAAATATAGATGCACAGTAGAGAGGTGTGGTCAGAAAATTTAGATTTCTCCTCTTTCATATACCATTTAGTTATCCAATGGAAAATGTTTTTTCTCAGACTTTTTCACCTGCAAGGCCACAAACTTTCTGAGTGAGAAGTGTTTTGCATACAAGGAATACTCATTCCATAACAAGCCAAATTCTTTCTCAAGAATTCTTATTGTTTAACAAAAGTGTGTGTAATTTGTTTTGACTCTGACACAACCTTCACAGCTTTTTTGTCATTATAAATAAGGGAGGCAAACACTGTGCCGTAATGGCTGTATGATGAACTATTCTCTCTTTGCAATGATAAATAAATAAAGTGCTGACTGAGTGAAGTCCATCGGTCTCCGTTTATTTAACTGGGTTAAATAGTTTAATACTTTTATCCCACTACACAGGTCAGGTAGAAAGTTCTGGAGAGGATTAAAGCAAGGTTTGTCTCTAACATAATACCCCAAGCTGAGCCATGTTCCATTAATCACATGAAAATTAAAAGAGAACTGAGCCATTTTAGGCCTACGGAAGTCCACCAAAATGGACAGACTTAGAAAGCAGGGTGTTAATCAGATAAACAGCTAAGAGGCACTGGTAACTCTGGAGGAGCTGTGCAGGAACAAGGCTCAGGTATGTCTGAAGGACCACTATTAGTTTTGTTCTACACAGATCTTTTTTAGAATAGTAACAAGATGAATATGTCACTGGATAGCATATCATGGGGAGCAACTGATCGCTTTAGCCTCCTTGCAAAATGTTGCATGTAAAGCAAAACTCAAATTGCAAATCATTATCGTTATGTTGGACCCAAAAAAATTTGTTTCTTTCACTCTCAGAGTGTTTTTCACGAATTTGGCAAGATGGCGTTTCCTATTATTACATTGACATACATTTTTGCCATTAAATTATCCATATTTTTTTAATGTAACAAAGGTAATAGGGTCTGGTCTTGGATTCCAATAACACTATTGAGTGGAAATTTTGATTTTCAGTAGTATTTCACTGAGTGCCCTATAAAGTGTTAAGGCATGGCACTACTAAAGATGACTTTAATGTATAGAGTCCCAATGGGACAAAAGGTAACAGACTGAAAAGAAAGGGCAAACTGTAAATCGCGACTCATCAAACAGGAGGACAGTGTGACAGTGACTTGCATTTCTTTTGCAACTTTCACATCAACATGAGACCGCAGGATTGCTCAAACGTACAAATCATGTGAACGCAGAGTGCACTCTGTGCAGTAAAATGTGTTGATGCGACAGGTCAGGAAACCCATGAGAACATTAGACAAAGGAGAAGGAACAAGAATCACAAGATAAGGTAACAATTGGAAACCTGACTTATATTTAACAATGTGGAAAAAAAGGACTGGCAGTTTTGAGCTGTTTAGCGGATATTTTAACCATCCAGTCCTTCTGCTGGTAGCCATATAAATAAACTGAAGACAATCTGAGTCACACTGGAGACGCAATGTGTTCAATTTAACAGAAAACCTTTTTCTCACAAACTGCATAGTTTTTTTTATTTGGTTAAACTTTGGGAACAGATTTCCTTAAACATTTGTCATTAATGAGCATACTCATTAAAACATACCCCTTCAGTTGAAGAACAGCCACTGTGCTCCAATTAGGGAGAACATCATTGCTGCAAACCAAAGCAATTTCTAAAAACAGTGTCATATATTATGTGGCTTCTTATTACCTACATGAGCATAAATGTATCTCAAGATAGAAAAAAGCCTGTCTTTGTTCCATATGTCACAAAAGAAAAAAAAAAGTGATTCTTTGTATGGTCTGCCAAATACAATTTGTCACAAGGTAAACATGACCAGAATTTGTCAAATTTCTTTAACAGTTACAGTGATAAAGGTAAATAATTTGCATATAGAGTAACTGTTTTAACTTGAATCTAAATGAAAATTAGATTTTCTTTATAATTGTGCAAATAAGGTACAAATGTAGGTAAAAAAAAAAAGTGTGATAAATGTGAGAAGAGGGCTGTCTCTCTACCTGCCTGCCAGTCTATCTATTTATGTGATAAAAGAAACAGAGTGATAATAAAAAAAACATAAAAAAGCTGGTTTAAAACAACTGTATACAAAAAAACAAAGAAAGACGTTTAATCTTAGGATTACACGTGTCTTCCAAGTGAAAAATATCTCACACGATACCATGAAATTGATTTTAAACTAGTTACAGGACTGTCTGTGGCTTGATAATTTATGGAGGTCACAAACTATTTAAATTTATTCAATGTATTTTAAAGTTCTCCTCATTGACTTTGGTGCATTTATTTACTTTTGGACAACAGCTAATGCAATTATTAAAACAGTAGTATAAACTGTAAAACTTGGTTGGTAACCTGAAAAATCATGCAACTTGCTCAAAATTGATATAGCTTGTTTCTTAAAAGCAAGTTTTTGTGTCAATATAAGTGTCAGTGTCATCAAGATGAAAAGTGCTGACATTGTATATGAAAAGGATAGTCGGATATGCTTGTCATCTTTTCATTATTAAAGTGTACTCTTTAAATATTTCCCAAAGCAAAAAATTCAGATCTTAGTGAACCTACCTGAAAATACTCAATACATCACTAAATACACATGCTAAATGCACAGACATTGGGAAATTACAGTAGAGTTACATTTTACTTTATTAAGTTAAAAGACACAAGAGTATGTACGTTTCAATATTTTTATTGCATATGCCCTGTGTAAATCTATTTTTATGGCATTGTGCAAAAGAGAAATACAACATTATTTCCCACACAAATGAACACCTTTAGGGCAGAGCTGTGTATAGTAAACAATAATGCAATATATAATGGAAATGGACATTCAACATACATCATACTGAAATCATTCATGCACAACCAGATGTTCTTCTCAGTCTGGCCACATAGTTTGATCTACATTATGATGAACATCATCTCTTGCAATGCAGAAAAGAAAGTACAGTAGAGTAGCTTCTCAAGTGATGAATCCACCTTCTGCAGGACTCTGCTGTGATGTCATCACATACTGCATACTGCAATGGTGCTGCATCCATAGCAGCACCATTTGGGTAGGTGGATGCTGGTCATATGCTTTCCACCTCCAGAAAAAATGGACAGGCAAAATGAGCCTGAGGACTCATTTTGACAAGATTAGCATTTTTTATGTAATGACTCAAGCAATACAATGAGGAGTATTAGTTTCATTATTTAATTACTACTCAGGATACAGAAGTGCACATGCAGTAATTCTGACTGAAAGTTGTATGAAAGCAAATGATGAATGTCCACAAGCATTTGCAATGTGTTGAAAGGAATGATAATCTTATGTGCAGAAATGACTAAATCAGGTGGAAGCTGAAGTAACTGCTGTAAAAATGTTTATAGTGATGTGTGAAAAGTGAC